CACAGAGTGACTCTTTTACCAACTGACTTGATTCAGTACACAGTGTGGGCATTCTACAGGCACTTATGTTATTGAAACCCCAAAGGTCCATTTGCTCACTGCTCTGTAGCCAATAATTGAGAGACAAGTGTTGGTGTAAGGAAAGGTGGCCTTTAATCAGGAAGCCAGCAGCCTGGGGAAATGGCAGACTTATGTCTCAAAGACCATCTCCACTTTTTCCAGACTTGCCAAAGAGTTTTATAGAGACAGGTGGTAGGGGCAGCTGATTCATGGTGATCTAAGCAGGGACATACAGGCATAATCGTAAACATCACTAAACATCAAAGAATTTCTCAGATGGGAGCTGATTCATGGTGACTATCCTCTATGAAGTCAAGTCATGGATTCAATTCCTGTTAACCTCAAAAAGATCTAGTTAGTAATCTAGTAAAGAATGGCCATCTGGGTTAATAATTTCTTCTATAATTATTCTGTGTACAATATGAAGAAAAGTCATTATGTTCTAGCAATCATGTGAACAAGAATCATTGTATTCTAATGTCCAGCTGCAAGCTATGCAGTTCAGGTTACAAGAATAAGGAAAAAAAATAACTTTTAATTTAGAAGTTTAACGAAATTGAGTCACTTCTGTGCAGGCTGTTACACATGTAGCAGGAGGTGTTGCCAGATTTAGTGGCTGGCAGAGCTGTTCCTCCCATGAGAGATGAGGTCGCCTCCTTCCAAGTCTCTGAGCTGGTAGGGTGGGGTGTGGGAAGGAGGCAGTGCTGCCTGACAGAACAGGCGGCTGCCTGGATTATCACACTGTCATGTGTCACCTTCTATTAATCCTCCTGTGGAACAGCAGGTATCCTGAAAAGCCTGGACTGTGCATTAGTTCCTGTGGCTATTGTGCCACATATAAAACATATAACTGGCCCTTGTTAGCCAGTGATTTTGGGCAGTCATTTCTTACTGATGTCAAGCCTTTGGTCCAGGGGAAAACAAAGCTGCAGGAAACATGGAACTTTCTTACATCTTCTTGAAACTGCAAGTTATGTTGCCTAGGAAATTCTTCTCACTGAGTATTCTGCACCCTGCCAGCGTTGGAGCTGTGAAAGAGAGCTGAAGTTATTCCAAGAAAACACTCGCAGTTTGGTAATAAAAGGAAGTAGCATATCTCCCCTGCCTCTAGGCTGGGTTTCTAGGTGTGCACACGGCCAAAAGGAAACTGAGCTTAGCTTGGGGAGATGATTCTGTGCTGGGCTCCTGGGCACACTGGCTGGGTATCTGGCAGTGCAGGTGAGGGCGGGCGCGGGCCGTGTGCAAAGATTCACAGTGCCGCATGCATTGTGGTGAGCGAGAGGTTGCCAGCTGGTGGGACGGGTATAGATAAACAAAAGCAAATAGGTACTGAGCAGTGTGCAGCCTGCCCAGGTTCCCAAAGCTGGCTGCCAGACTGAAGACTCAGTGGCAGCCTCTTCTCCCGGGAGCTCATGAGCAGAAGGGTGCCTTCCCCACTGCTGATTAGGATACTTTAAAATGCTAATGTTCAAGCATTTTCCTTCTAACACAACGAAACAGTCTGGTGAAAGTGCACTGCTTTAACAGGGAGTAAACGTGACCCTGGACTCAGCGATGGAGAAAGCTGGGAGTGAGGTGGCCCGGAACCCTGAGCAGTCCTTCCTGGCGACTCTGAGTGACCCACACGTGATCCTCCTGTCTGTCCACAAGCAGTGGTCCTTCAAGAAGAGCCCTGGGGCCAGGGACTCTGCCAGACCAGTGTCTCTGGGGGAAGAAGGCTCGCCTCCATCAGAGGAGGGAGAATTTCCACAGAGGGTTTTGAATGAAACCCGGGAAATGAGTTCCAATCAGGTCAGTGCAATTGCAGAAGGGCCTAAAAAGCCAGAAGGGGCTTGGACCCAGTTTACAGGTAGAGGTTTCTTTCCACGTCTCATGTATGAGTGTCGGGAAACGGTCAGGGTAGGGGGAGAGAATGAATGTACCACCAAGAGGGAGTCAAGGTGATTAATTTCACTGTGGGTGAAGTTTGGTTTTGTTGCTTCAGATGTTGAGGATATTTTGTAAGACTCTATAGAGCAAGAGTTTTCCAAAATGCAAGTCAGACAAAAATGGGTCTTTCCCCCCTTTTTATTTTTTAAAGTGTGTACCTTATTTAGTTAATCTCCACATTTCAACTAAGTAAACATTTTGAAAATGTTTAAGTAAATGTAAGTTTTGTTAGCCCAAAAGTTAGTTCATGTTCAAAAGTAAGACAGTAATAACGTTTTATAAAAGTGAAGGTCTGTGTGGGATTGTTTTTCATCTGACATAGGTGAAATAAAAGTACTTTTAAAGGCATTTTACTAGTTAGATACAAAGGAAAGTTTTCATAAGTAGTTTGCTTCCTTCAAGACTTATTTTTCTGGTGTTCATTGTTTAAAAAGTCTCCCAAACCAAAGGACATTTGTGAAAGGAGCTTTCTGAGATGAACTGTGCAAGAGATTTACATATGTTGAAGTCACATGGTACTTGGATGTTGAAAACAGAGCCTCTTTTTGAGTATTTAAAGGTTCTGCATTTTGTTAAAAACCTGGTCAGGTTTTTAACCAGGATATAATTATGCCCTAACATACTTATTTTAAAATATTAAAAATCTTTTTTGGTGTTCTGAATGTTTGGAAAATTTCAAGAGACTCCTTCAAAGTTTCTTCCCAAGCAAATTTAATAACAGGAGTGTAGAATCATTTTTCAGTGGCTGCCAGTTTGGGTAGCTTTTACAGAGTGGGGATTGGCTGGTTGGGGGTGGGGTGTTAGGTACAATCCTGCAAACTCCATGTTCAGTGAATTTGAATTACTTTGCTTTCCAAAGTAGTTGTGTGGTTTTCATTTTATATCTCCTTAAACTACATTAAATCAGTAGCACTTTGTAGAGTACTATATGAATGCAAAATGGTATTACTTCTGCCAAATTATGCTTTTCAATAGAGTTCCTAACTCTGAGATGTATTTGGTGCTGTCTGAATGTGTGGATAGGACTGTGTTAGCCCAGTAACCTGTGTGAGCACAGTTGCAACTCTTATTTTTCTAAAACTCTGTTGATAGCAGTAAGAAACACTTATTATTAAAAAAAAATAACAATGGGGCAAGGGGAATATATAAAAGTATAAAGAAAAAAAAATGAAAGCAATCATTTTCCCCCTACACACATGAATACGTGTATGCGTATGCAAGTATGTTTATGTGTACATATGTGTGTGTGTGTGTTTTTTTTTTTTTACAACTATGGTATCAGATTATACATACTATTATGTACCTTGCATTTCTTAACTTGGTATTTCGTGGACATTTTTATGTGTATATCAAGGGTACTTCAAAAATTTTGTGGAGAAGTGGAATTAAAAGATTGATATGAATCTTTTCATGAACTTTTAGAAGACCCCTCGTATACGTACGTGTCTGTACCATCATTTTTAATTGCAGTCTGGCTTTTAAGTTCAGGATTATTTTTATTTTTATTTTTATATTTTTTTAAAAGATGACTGATAAGGGGATCTTAACCCTTACTTGGTGTTGTCAGCACCACGCTCTCCAAAGTGAACTAACCAGCCATCCCTATAAAGGGATCTGAACCCGTGGCCTTGGTGTTATCAGCACCACACTCTCCCACGTGAGCCACGGGCCAGCCCTAGGATTATTTTTAGAAAGAATTGAAATTAATTATCCTCAAGTAGGGAAATTTGTAATAGCTGGTTTATAATTATAAAAACCAAACTAAAAGTAATTACATTCTACTATTTTAGGAAATGCTACAGAGAATATTTTAAAAAACAATTCTTTACAATTATTAATATCAAGCTAGTTAAAATTTCCTTTGTGGATATATGAATGAACATTTGTAATCTCCATTTTAAAAGTTATTTGAACCTTTGTTAAGCTGTTCAAAAGCCAAAGTTGGAAAAATCAGTATTTTATGTTCAGGGATTTGGAAAAGATCAGCCCATGTAACTGAAATTCATCTGAGGATATGTAGTATTGTGTACAAGTAAAGAAAAACACGCCTTTTTCTTTTTTTCAATCATGTATTATATATAAAGGCCTAGTCCAAAATTTCTGAAGCACATGATAGTGCTGGTATAAAAACTGTATCTAATTAAGAGAATGAAAGGCTGGGATCCAGTGAATGTGATTTTGTCGCCATATCATCATGTGTAGAAATCAGGAAATAATGCTTGTACTGTGGTGCATTAAGAAAATAGATCCATTTAATTTGATGATGAACCTATAATTTTAGGTAATGATCACAACTCCTGAACACCCAGGAGGGCAGTGACCTTCAGCCGGAGGCAGAACTGTGAAGTTCCTTGTTGAACTCAACTTGCTCTTCTTCCAGCTTTTTCCACTTGCCCCTCTCTGCCCAGCCACTTGTGCTCATTTCTCCTCATTCGGAGCTTGCACACAAAGGTTGTTAAGCACATTTAACCCCTATCAAGTAAGAGTATCAGACAGACTTCCCTTAGGAAGAGATAGAATTAAGGTGTTGCCTATACTGGGATTTGCATTTCAGCAGGACTCCCAAAGTTTGAGCTGAAAGGACCAAATTCTTCAGGGAGGTTTCAGGCCTCAGCCAGAGATGGGGAGCTGCTTTTGAGACACCTGTGCCTTCCAAAAGTGGGCCGCTGTGCTCTCTGTTTCCGTTGTGGGCCAGCCATGCTGTGTCTGTGCATAAAGCGCACCGTGCTTTCCTCAGAAACCTCGCATCTCCAGGGTGAGAAAGACATTTCACTAAGGTGGGCAGACAGTTGACTTCTAGGTTCCGAATCACAGAATGTCAGAGCTGTGAGCCTGTTCATTTTGTAAATGATGTTTTTAGCTTTCTTTCTCTGCATTTTATGTTCTTGTGTTGTTGGGATGTTTTGAAACCAGTGGCATCATTTTCCATTTTCTCAGTGCCAGGCAAGCTGGGATATTATAGAAAATATTTAATTTTAAGGATAAAAAAATGTTGTGTCTTTTCTTTTTAGATCTTATCTAAACTTTCTCTGCCTGCTCATGCCTGGGAACCAGCAATGAAGCAGAGTTTCGCCTTTGACAATGTTGGCTACGATGGTGGTCTGGACGGTGTGTTCTCTTCCTCTCAGACAGCCACCAGCACCATCAGCATTTTGGGCATGACTTGCCAGTCATGTGTAAAGTCCATTGAGGACAGGATTTCCAGTTTGAATGGTATTGTGAGCATTAAGGTTTCTCTGGAACAAGGTAGTGCAACTGTGAAATATGTGCCATCAGTCATGAGCCTGCAACAGGTTTGCCATCAAATTGGGGACATGGGCTTTGAGGCTAGCATTGCCAAAGGAAAGGCTGCCTCCTGGCCCTCAAGGTCCTCACACACCCAGGAGGCTGTGGTCAAGCTCCGGGTGGAGGGCATGACCTGCCAATCCTGTGTCAGCTCCATCGAAGGCAAGATCGGGAAACTGCAAGGAGTCATGAGAGTCAAAGTCTCACTTGGCAACCAAGAGGCAACCATCACTTATCAGCCGTATCTTATTCAACCAGAAGACCTCAGGGACTATGTAAATGACATGGGGTTTGAAGCTGCCATCAAGAACAAAATGGCTCCCTTAAGCCTGGGACCAATTGATATTGGGCGGTTACAAAGCATTAACCCAAAGAGACCTTCAGCTTCTGCCAACCAGAATTTCAATAATTCTGAGACCTTGGAGCACCAAGGAAGCCATATGGTCACCCTGCAACTGAGAGTAGATGGAATGCATTGTAAGTCTTGCGTCTTGAATATTGAGGAAAATATAGGCCAACTCTCAGGGGTTCAAGATATTCAAGTGTCCTTGGAGAACAGAACTGCCCAAGTGCAGTATGATCCTTCTTGTATCACCCCAGTGGCTCTGCAGAGGGCCATTGAGGCGCTACCACCCGGGAATTTCAAAGTTTCTTTTCCTGATGGAGCAGAAAGGAGTGGGACAGATAATGGATCTTCCACTAGTCATTCTCCTGGCTCCCCGCAGAGCAACCAGGTGCAGGGCACGTGCAGTACTGTGGTGCTCACCATCGCTGGCATGACGTGTGCATCCTGTGTCCAGTCCATTGAAGGCGTGATCTCCAAACGAGAAGGGGTGCAGCGAGTATCAGTCTCTTTGGCTGAAGGGACTGGAACAGTTCTTTATGATCCCTCTGTAATTAGCCCAGAAGAACTCAGAGCTGCTGTGGAAGACATGGGATTTGAGGCTTCGGTCATTCCTGGTATGTAGTTGGTATATGTTTGAAGCATGTCCTGAGGTCTTCTCTTTTTCTCTTCGTGTCTTATGACATAGTACATGAGTGGTTGGATAGGTGAGCCCTGCTCACTGCCTTGAACGTTTACAGTTTTACAAAATTCTGCAAACTTTCTTCATGTGTTAAATTTGTCAGGATAGAGGAAATAGAAATTCCAGATGTTTAGATTTTGCTTGTCATGTAGCTGGGACTTGAATGCTAACTTGGATTGGGGCTTCTTTTCTGGAAAGAATTCTGATTCTGTGTTCTGAGAAAGAATATCAGGCCCTTGTCTTACGAAAGGAAACATTATCGCTCTCTCTGAAGATTTCTCTGCTAAACAAAACAATAATAAAAACCACAGAAGCTTAGTCTGAGCACCTAAAGACCATTCTGTTAAAAGTGGAAATTAAGGGCTGGCCGGTTAGCTGAGTTGGTTAGAGAAAAGGAAACATTATCGCTCTCTCTGAAGATTTCTCTGCTAAACAAAACAATAATAAAAACCACAGAAGCTTAGTCTGAGCACTAAAGACCATTCTGTTAAAAGTGGAAATTAAGGGCTGGCCGGTTAGCTGAGTTGGTTAGAGCACAGTGTTATAACACCAAGGTCAATGGTTCAGCCAGCCACCCCACCCCCCACCCCCCCACCAAAAAGTGGGAATTAAGGAAAAGATTTAACGGTGATTTTAGCAGTGATTTCCTTTGATGGCTATGAGAGAAGAGGGCTGGGGTGATGGGGTGAGTATGACTGTCTTCACAGAGCAAGGAGCCCACATGCCTTGATGTCACATCACCAGACAATTTCCGTAGTGGCAGCCACCCCGCTCCCTCCTCTTTGTTTTGTTTCATTTCTCTTACATGAGAGCCCTGCAAATGCAGCATCACTTTAACCCTTTCTTGCATTTCTGCCATGAGTCAGGGCCTGTGCTAGCTGTGGGCCTACTACATGAGTAAGACTTGTTTCTCCTGAGAACTGATGTTGTAGCTGGGGGAGACAGAAAAGGAGTGAAACCTGCTTGAGCCCACGTAAGGGGTGCCTGAGCCCGACTCTGGGCTTAGGAAAGACTCCAAGGGTGAGCAGGAGTGAGCCTGGTGTGAGAGATGGGGGAGGGGGCACAACACATGGGCCTTGCATGTGAAGCTGAGGGACTGGACTTTATTGTAAAGGTGAGGGGAGCCACCAGTGGATTTCAGGTGGAGGAAGCACAAGATCCGATTCTGTTACAGAAGGCCGGTCTGGTGCCAGGGTATGGTGCAGATGGAGGCAGCAAGACCACGAAAGAGGCTGCTTAGAAATGATGTGGATTTGAACCACTTTCAGGAGGCCAGCTCCACCAAACATGGGGTCAGATTAAGGTAGTGTGTGTGATGGGGAGGAAAGGCAGAGCCCAGGATGAGCCCCTAGCCATGGTGTTGTGGGATAGATGGGTCTTGACCTTCAAGGAGAGTCTGGGAGCCTTGGGAGATGACAGAAACCCAGGGAGAGTGAGTGTGAGATGGGAAAGAAATGGGCGAAGGGTTGCACAGGGAAGGAGAATGTCCCAGACAGGTGAAGCAAGAAGAGGGTGGTGTGCTGGAAATAATGCAAGGGCCACAGAGGCAGCAGTCAGAACAGTGTCTATCAGGGCTAGCCACGGGGAGGCCATTGGAGGCCTCAGCAGCTGTTTTGAGCCCCTGGGAAGGTGGGTGGAGCCCGGTCTGCACCATGCTGAAGGGGTGGAGACCACCAGCAGCTCAGGCTGGAGAGGGATGGAGAGGGCAATAAGACAGGTTGGGGGTGGTTGGGTGGTAATCTCTTAAGTGTTTAGATGCCAGATGCAGGCCCTGTAGGCGCATGCAAGTCTGTAGACTAGACTGGGGCGTGGCTGTGCTTCCTCAGTCTTTTGGCTGTAGCTGGAGGCCTTAGCAGAGACCGCTGGCAGCACACTGGGCTGGCTGGCCTTTGGTTCCCCACATCCCGTTTCCTATGGCCACTGAGATAAACTTTGTGTCTTGGAAAAGTTCACTCTATTGTGATACTTTCCGGCCTCCCCTCTGTACACACAGCGCCCACACCATTGAAGGGAGTGGGTAAGTCATGTAGAGTGGCTAGACCACATTCTGTACTTTGTCTTTTGTACCAAGTATCAGGAAGGAGTTTTTCCAAAACAAAATCAATAAGGAAAACACAGAACAGTAAATCCTGTACTCAAAAGGTAAAAAATATAGTATAAGGTTACCACCTGCTGTATTTATGTGAGGTTTAAAGTCTTTCAACAGTACAGATTATTGGCAGTAAAAAGAAATTAGCATTGAACTACATATTATATAGTAATTGAATTTGACTGCGTAAACCTAGAAAGAAAAGAAGTGATTTTTATTGGGCAGGATTATGAGAATTATATTTAGCCTGAGAGGTACTTAGAGTATCAGATTTAGCAGATAAAAATATAGGACACCCAGTTAAATTTGAATTTCAAGTAAACAATGAATTTTTTTTAAAGTATAAGTATATCCCATGTAATATTTGGGACATACTTCTAACAAAAGTTTATTTGTTGTTTATCTGAAATTCAAATTTAACTGGACATCCTATATTCTACCTGGCAACTTTAGTATAAACCATTAGGTGCTGGTGACTATTTTTTATAACTACTTAAATGCTAAAATGATATTATTCGTATTTGACTGGTCTTTCTTGATTGATTAGGAGCTCCTTGTGGACAGTCTTCAAATCAGTGTGACTTGTTTCTCCTTGACCTTACTAGCAGCCAGCACATAGTAGGTATTTGTGAGGGAAGTGAGAGAGAAAGTAATGGGCTGTGACAAGCAGAGTCACAGGTAGCTCAGTGGAGGGCTTTAATACAGGGAACTGATTACAGCGGTGTGAATTGAAAAACCAAACAGGCATTGGGGGAAACCCCAGGGATTAAACACCAGCAGAAAGCTACCTCCTCCAGGGCTGGAGGGTCTGAGGGTCAAGGGCAGTTGCTATGGCCCAGGGACTGAGGTCACTTGGTGGGAACTGGGACTACTGGAACCATGAAGGGAGAGGCCATGGGCAGGAGCTGGGATCCCAGTAGATAGATGGGGAAACACCTTGGATTTGCCTGTTACCTCATGGGCCAATTTAGTCAGAGACTCGTTGGCAAGGAAGCCTGGGAAGAGTGGTTTGCAGGGTCAGCCCCTGTCATAGTGGAGCAGGGGGAAGGAGGGGAATGTTCTGAAAGCAGATAGGCAGCTTATTTGACAACTTTCACTCAGCTTATTTGACAACTAAAATACATTTAGACCTGCTATTTATCTGGAGAGCAACTCTGCGTTTGTTCACTGATTTGCACAGTAGGTATTTTTTTGAATGAACAGATGAATGGATATACAAGTATGATGTAGTGTGAGGAAAAGTCACCCGTCATGTACAGCGTGTTCCTCCCACCCTTGTGAATGGGTAATGTCACTTCAGGGGCACCGATCCCTCATCCCAGCATGTGCTGAGGGCCTGCTGGCTTCCAGGTACTGGTCTGGGTGACCTGAAGTGCTCTGAGGCAGTTTAGCACCTGCGCATATGTGGTTCACACTCATAGGGAAGCAGGTCACAGGGAGCCATCATTCAAGGCAGATTAGAATAAATGTGACAAGGAAGGTGTAGATGAAGCGTGCTTGGGATTCAGAATTTAAGGAGAAAGTCCATCCTCTGGTGGTGGGGCTCCCCAGAGACTTGATGGAGAGGGGGCATTGGAGCTGGGCTTGGATAGGGTTTCAGAATGGATATGATCTCAGCAGGCAGAAATGGGCAGGACTGCACACTGGACAGAGGAGACGAGCAAAGGCCTGAGGCGGGAGGCCACTGCTATGCTTTGGGAGCAATCTGGCTTGGATGGAATTTAGGGAATGCGTAATGGAAGGTTAGGTTGGGCTCCCAGCACCCTGGTCCAAGCCACTCATCTCTCTTCTGATCCTGGAAGAGCGTCAAACTGGTCTCCACGCTTCCTGCCTTTCACCTCCGTCTGTTCCCTACCCAGTGTTCAGAGTACTCCTGTTACTCTGCTCCAACACCCTCTTATTGTGTGTTGAAAGTCCTTGTGGTTGTCTAGAAGCCCCTCCTTCACCTGTTACCTTCCTGACTCCTTGCAGTCTTCAGCTCAGGCTTGCTGTCATTTCAGGATCATGTACTCAATGTCCCCTTTGTCTGGAATGTTCTTGCCCCCAAATCCATGTGGTCTGCTTCTGATTTTCATGTATGGTCTTCTGGTCTTTTCCAAAGCATAGACGTTATATTTTGAAAGTCATAGGTTTGTTTTGTACATAGTTTTGTAATCTCTTTTTTTTCAGTGGCTGCATAGCATTCTATTGTGTAGATGTACCATAACTTACTCAATCAGTTTCCTGTTGGACAGTTCCCATCTAGTTTGTGTGGGTGTGATTGTAAATGACATTGATGGACATCTTTGAGGCTAAATCTTTGTGCACATAACTATTTCCCTAAGATAAATATCTAAAATCATAATTGTTGGGTCACGGGGTATAAGCTTTTTTATTTCATTCCATCAGCAAATATTTGTTGAGCTTTTACAAAGTGCCAAGCAGTTCGGGGTACTGATTTTGATAATATTATCAAATAGACTCCCAGAAAGCTGAGTCAATTTACATGTTCGCTTTCAGTATTAGCATAGATTGGTAAATGACTCAGTACTGTTGGTTTGTTTGGGTTTTTGCTGATTTGTTTTTACTTTATTTAGCAATCTTCAGAAGCCCAGAATTTAGTTGGGTCATACCTCAGTGTTGAAGAATAGCTATGTATAAATTGTAGGTCAGTAAGGCGGTATGGAATACTCTGTAGTAGAATGAATATTATTGGTATTGTTGACTATGATTTTTGGATTGAAAGGCAGGTGAATTCAGAAAATAGTGAAGGACTGGGAAAATAGGGAGGAGTCTGACAGGTGCAGAAGGGTTGATGGGTAGGGGAGGTGAATGTTAAGAGGTCATGGCCCCAGATGTTAAAAGGTCATGGCCACAGACTATTCTGTGAGTTTGAGATCCGAAGGGTGGACGGTGTCACTTGGAACAATGAGAAAACCTGTGCCTGGGGTGAGGAGATGTCTCTGCATCAAGAGAGTGGAGGTCTGTAAGGCCAGAGTACTGGAGAGGTTTTACTGAAGGTCTGAAAGTGTCAGTCAACTGGACTCTTAGAATGACTGTAAATAGTTTTAGCACTTTTCAAAAAATGAGCAAAGCACTCCAATATGTGGTATTTATTTAGAAGATAAACTTTGATGTCATGGGCTGTTGTCAATACAGGTTAATGCTAGTCTTCTATCTTCCGCAGCTGTGGATTTCAGAATAATGAGAGTCCTTTGTTAAATTTTAGGCATTTCTAAATGCATTTCTTGTCATCATAATAGTGTGACTTTCTGGAGTGATGAAAACATTCTATGTATTGATCTGGGTGTTAGTTGCATAGGGTATGAGGGTATGTCAAAAAGTTCATGGAGGGCTGGATGGGTAGCTCAGCTGAATAGAGCACTGTGTTACAACACCAAGGTCAGGGGTTCAGGTCCCATACAGGCCCAGCTGCCAAAAAAAGAAAAAAAAAAAAAAAAAGTCAGGGAAAGGTTATTATTTTTCATTTTATTTTTCCACAAACTTTTTGAAATACACTCTTAGACATATGTTGTAGGCAGAATAATGGCCCTCAAAGATGTCCTTGGCATAATCCCTGGAACCTGTGAATATGTTACTTTACCTGACAAAAGTGACTTTATAGATGTGATGAAAGTAATGGACCTTGAGATGGGGAGATCCAGGATCATCGAATGGGCCCAGTCTAATCTCATCAGTTATTAAAAGCAGAGGACCTTCTCTCGCTGGGTTAGAGAGATGTGACAACTGAAGAGAGATTCAGCATTTCTAACTTTTAAAAAATTTTTATAGCAGTTTTAGTTTTACAGAGAAATTGAGCAGAAAGTGCAGATAGGTCCCATACCCTCAACCCAACCACACACAGAGTTTCGCCTATTACTGACATATTACATTTGTGTGGTACATTTGTTACAATTATGAACCAATGTTGATTTATCATTAATTTTACATTAGGGTTCCCTCTTTGTATTGTGCAGTTCTATGGGTTTTGCCAAAGCATTGCTAACTTTGAAGGTGGGGGAATAGGGCCACGAACCTAGGAATGCAGGTGGTCTTTAGATGTTGGAAAAGGTGAGGAAACCGATTCTTCCCTAAAGCCTCCAGAAAGGAACACAGCCCTGCCGACACCTTGATTTTAGCCTGGGAAAACTCATGTCACACTTCTGACCTACAGGACTGTAAGGTAGTACAGTCCTTTGTGGTCTTTGAGCTACTAAGTTTGTAGTAATTTGTTATATTAGCAATAACAAACTAGTACAACATATATAAAGATCCATAGATTGATACTGTTAAGATTCGTGCATCTTATGCTAAGTAAATTATACCTTTAAAAAAGACAGTGTGGTATTGGCACAAGGATAGACGAAAAAGATCAGTGGATATAATGGAGAGCCCAGAAACAAGTGCATATATGTGTGGCCTTCTAATTATGGCAGAGGTGCCGCTGGAACTCAGTGGAGAAAGGGTGGTCTTTTCAGTCTGTGGAGCTGGATCAATTGGATATCCAAATGGAAATAAATTAACCTTGACTGTGACCTCATACTCTACACAAAAAATAATTGAGGTGTATCTTAGACTTAAATTTAGAAGTTTATTAAAACAATAGAGCATGTAGAAGAAAATGTCATGAATATTTTCATGTTGTAGAGGTAGGCACATCTATTGATAGAGCACAAAAAGTACTATTAAAAAAAGATTGATAAATTGGGCCTTATTAGCATTAAGGAAGGACTTCTTTTATCAAAGACACCATTAGAAGAGTGAAAACACAAGCTCACTGGGAGGAGAGGTTTGCAATGCAAACGGCTGAGAAAACATTCCTATTTAGAATATATGAAAAGGCAAACAGTTCATTAAAGGCTTGATTCTCATGGGGAGGGATGCAGACCTCTTGTGATTGAGTGGACAGACACTGGAGTTAAACAGAACTGGTTTAGAAGCTAGTTTTATGATTTTTACTACCTCTGAGGGATTAGAGGAAAATTAACTTCTTATATCTCATTTCTTCATCTATAAAATGGGGGTAAATAACCTTATGTATTTACCACACAGGGCTATTTTTTTTTTTTTTTGTCTTTTTGTCTTTTTCTGTGTCCGGCAACGGATCGCAACCCTCAGTGTTGCCCCCGCACCGGACTGGGGACCGGCAACGGGATCGCAACCCTCGGTGTTGCTCCCGCGCCTCGCTCAGCCAGTGAGCGGGAACTGGTCTGTATGTGGGATCCGAAC